AAAAAAAAAAAAAAAAAAAAAAGAATGCTCCAAGGCCTCCCAAGATCTCCGCATTCTTCCAGGATCCAACCCGGAGAGGAAGGCCCTGGGGGTAACGGTCTCCATCCATGTATCCTATCCTCATAGTGCAACATCCAGAGGACAAAGGAGTGTTTCTCCCTCACTATATGGGCTGCCTCTGGCATAATTTGGACATGCCAGTGTGATTATCTGCGTTTTTGTCTTACCAGAGACCTTTTTCCTCATCCAGGGTGATAAGATGGGAAGCTCAAAAGAGAGTAGAGGGGGAGCATTCCAACCTGAAATATTTAAACAAATGCTGGAATGCACAGACTTGGGACTGTGCCTTTCGTCTCCTGCTGGTGCTCACCAAGCTCAGAATTTTATGATCAGCAAGCAGGAACAGAAGCATCTATCAATTCTCAGTCCTCAGCCCTTGCCTCCCCTTCCTGCCTGCCCACTCAGAGACAGTAAGGAGAACAGTGCTCAGAACATTGACCCCATCCAGTCCTTTCTGGAAAAAAAGTTTATATTCTCCGTGTTTGAGTGATTTTTGGAATTTAAAGGAAAACTCTGTGTGTGTGGATTCATCTGTATATATGTGCAGAGACCTCTGTGTGTATGTGTCTGTTTACCTCGCCATAGTAGTTGAATGTTAGAAGAGAAGAGAGGAGAGGAGAAAGGCAACTTTCTGCCTGCAGTTATCCAAGCAGGGGATACTGACATCAAGAGGTACTGATATTGAGATTCAAGCAAGCTTCTCATCAGAGCCAAATTCAGGTTCCCATGGAAACAGACATGCAGGTATACCTGGAAGGTATACTTGTGATGTATGGCTGCATGATCCCCTACACCAATATCCAGGGACCAGAAACAGCAATAAAGATTTGCCATGTTGCAAGGCTTCTGTGGGTCAGGAATTGGAAAGCAGCTTAGCCAGGCATTTCTGGCTCGGGGTGTCTCATGTAGTGGCAGTCAAAATGCTGGCTGGGGCTGTGCTCACCTGAAGACTCACCCGGGGCTGCAGAATGTGTGTCAAGGTGGCTCACTGCCATGGCTGCTAAGGTGGTACAGGCTGCTGACAGGAGGTCTGGGATCTCCAGCATGAAGATGTCTTCTTAGCGCTGTTTGGGTTTCCTCTTGTCACGGCCGCTGGCTTCTCTCTAAGTGAATGGCCCAAGAAAGGAACAGGTAGAGGCTTGATGACTTTTGTGACCTTGCTTTGTGAAAGGGGGGTTCGCGTGCCCTTTCGGGTTCCCCTTCCCAATTAGGCCACTCACGTACCGAGAGGTCCGGCAGGAGATCTTTATTGTAGGGAGGCGAGCAGGAGGCAGGAAGGCAGAGAGAGAGAGAGAGAGAGGAGGAAGAAGAAGCAGAAGGAGAGAGAAGAACAAAGAAAGGAAGGTCCTTTTATCAGTTTTGGGGTGGGCTATTGCTTATGTATGAGGAGTGAGCTACTTTTAACCTATCACAGGCCAGATTGCTTTTATGGGCCCAGTCCTGCAGACACAGGTTTCAACTTTCCTGGACCACTGTGGCCTTGGGGGGGAGGGAAACCAGAGATAAGGGCATGAGGTCATTTTAGGAGCCAAGATGTATCAGGAGAATGCAGCCTGTGAGGTGGCGTCACAGCATACTTTAACATGATCAGTTCCCTAACACTTTGGAAGTCATAGCACACCATTTCTGCAGTATCCTCTTGGTTAAACACGTCATCCCTGTGTGGGA